TGTTTGTTGCTCTTACACTTTGACTTTCTGAAAAGTCGCCTCCCATCCTAATCCTCATGTAGTTGAAGGTATAAGAACGTTTCTACATAATGGCTTCCCTCTGCCATGGTTTGAATATGTCCCACAATTTCATGTATGGTAAACTCAATCTCCTAATACATATATTAATGGTATTTGGTGGTGGAGTCTTTGGAAGACAATTAGGATTAGATGAGGCCAGAATGGTAGGGCCTCTTTTATAAAGTCAGTGGCTTTGTAAAAGGAAGAAGAACCCAAGCTGACATGCTTGATTGGTGTTACCATGTGATGCTTCCAGCAATGTCAGCATGCAGCAAAATGCCTCACCCAGAACTGGTACTGTGCTCCTGGACTTTCCAGTCCTCAGAACTGGGAGTGGTAGCATAAACCTCCATTTTTTATAAGTTTCTCAGCCCGTGACAATCAATTATAGCAACAGAAAACAAATTAAGACACTTTACAATGAAGAACACCCGTTTAGCAGAGGGTGGCTGAAATCCTTTGGAGAATTTAGGAACTTTTGGAACATAGGTAAGACCAGCTCCTCTCTTCAACAGGAAATTTGACAAATACAAATATGTTTAACATAAAGGGTTATAGCCAAGCTTGTTAACCAGCTTGGCTGCTTCTTAATTACAAGCTTGCTGATTATGGGTAATTATATTATATACAGATTATATGTGTGTAAATTTCAACTAAGTCTTCCCTAAAGATGCACATTTTCCCTAAGGATAACATTGTTATTGAATGTGGAGAGCTAATTTGGAGTAATACACACAACTTTTATGAAACACTGATTCATAAAGACAGCTTTTTATTCGTTCAAAAGATTTACTTTTTAGTTACAATCTTCTTGTTATAAACTTGTTTTTCCCAAGAAAATATAATCTGTCTGAGAGAAAAGGTTGTCTACACACACACACACACACAAATTAACTAACTAGAAAGTTGTAAACAGTTTATGCTTTTGGTATAAAAATTTCTTAAAGTGAGAAAATACCAATGTGACTTCAGAGTAAAGGATCACAAACAGAACTGGTTGACACTCCCTTAAATAATGCTCTCTTTGACATAGGCAACATCTCTAAATCCCCAAAGGGAAGACCATCTTCTTCAGGATGGTAAGTTAAATATTTGTGCCTCCTGATGGAACCTATTCCTCAGTACAAGACAATCACACTGATGAGAATAAAATTTTTCTCAGTAACTGTTCTGAAAACAAACTGCTCAAATATAATGTTAAAATTATATTTATGCCCATTCGAAGGATAGTATATACTATTTAACAACCGCTTGAAAAGAGGGGCAAAACTGAGTTCTTTCTTTATTTTTACATTTCACGTTATCCTAACAGGGGTTCAGGAGTCTCTCAAAATGACCACTAGGGTGAGTCACACACCATCCCCAGCCCTGATTAGAAGCATTTAGCATTTTAGCTCTTGTTACCCCTTTTCTCATCTTTTTCTCCTCTTTCCTGCTATGAAAAGGATCATGTCACACAGGGCACACTGTTGGGGAAGACAAATAAATAAAATAGAGCATCTTTGTGTGAACACAGGCTGGGATTTCTCTTGGTAGTCTCTCCTCTTTATAGCTATATTTACATCCAGACCTAGATCTCAACTGTAAACACTGTGGCAGCTACAGCAGAACTTGTCTTCTCTTTCAGGCGTCCTACTTCAGTGTCCTGCTAGGGTGACGCACCAAGGAAATCTGGTGAGCAGACACTCCAGCTTAGAACACTTCGCACATCTTTGTGCCTTCCCAGGGTGCCCTGGAGCCCTGCCCGGCCTTCATTCAATATGGCGTCCCCTTCTCTACATTGCAGGCCATGTTTGTTACACTGTCTTCCTCTCCCCCAGCTTGCTGTCTCCTCTCCTTTGTTTGTTTTTGGGACAATCCTCCGCAGTCTTTACACTTCGGTCATAAATTGTTGGAGGAAATTAACCCTAAGTATCATCTTTACTGACTTCTCTTCCTCCCTCCACATTTCTGTGAACTACTGGCCGATCTCCTAGAAGGCATTTCCTTCCCCCAAACACTCTAGCCACAAACAAAAACTGCAGAACTGAGTATTATAAATCTTCTCACATACCCACATATTTCTCAATCTTTTAAGTTCTTCAGTAAACTCATTTGATCAATAGCTGAGAATTCATCCAAAATATTGTGTAATCCTCTTGTCTCCTAGACATTTGGCAGGCTTGTCATGAAGGCTTTCGTCATTCAAATTCCTCCTTTGAGGCAACAATTATCCTGTGTTTAAGGCAGCATTATACATTCAGAAAACCACACAAAGGTCTAATTTTGCCTGTTCGTACTCACCAGCTTTCTTCTTTGAAGTACAAAACAAATATTCAATACCTTGGGATATGTTCCCTGTTTTGCCAAAAAATTTGGAATTAAACTAAATGAAGCCTCTACATTTTAACACTGGATTTGAGCATATCCAGTTCACGCCTTTGTTTCCTTTATAATCAACTGAATTGACACTAAGCCTTTCCTGCTAGCCAGGCTAACAGAAAATCCACTTGAATGGCCAATGTCAATAAAGGACTGGAGAGCAACCCCAGTTCCTTTAGACTGTAACCTTGCCTCGAGATTCCTAAAGTGCTGCCTGTGACGCCCTCTAGTGGTGGTGTAAGTTCTGGTCCTTACAAAGACTGGTCTGTTCTATATATTCTCATTTATGAAACATATTCATTTGTTTACTTATTCGTTAAATAATCAATCATTATGTGGTACAAGCCAGAAAATGTAACATAATGGTGACAAAATGAAGGATTAAAAAAAACACACTGCAGTCAGACAGATAAAAAAAAAACAGTTACAAAGCACTGTGCTGTGTGCGGGAGATGGGAAGACCTAGAGACGGCAGCCTGCATGCTCAGCACTCTGGCCAAGACTAGGAAGAGAAAGGATGCTTACACTGAGTCAGGAAGATGGAGAACAACTGCAAGCATGGCGTTCTGTGATGGAGACGGTTAAAGCATGGATAACGAGAAGGAAGGGCTCAGAAGAGGACAGCTGCAGGCAGTCACAGGAAAACTGCCAGGTGCCCAGGACAGCAGGCAGAAGGCTGCAAGCCATCTTTCTTCAAGGACAAGCAAGCTAGAAAGGAGTTTAAGGCACACTGCTTTAAGCTAGTAAATGGTTTTCAGCCATCCAAGCCTTTAGTACCAAGACTTGAGTACAGGTCAGCATCATGATGGAGAGAGGCACTTCCACGTGGAAAAGACAGAGGCCACCAGAGCAACTCTGAGATGGCTGACAAAATGCAGGTTTGCACTGACCAAAACTAAATTAAGGATGTGGGGTGAGGAGAAACAGGTGGTGATGGATTTATGGACAGTAGATATTACAGATAGCAAAGTCTGGGGTAGAGACTGAAAGGCAATTAGAAAAGGAACTAGGCCCAAAACAGAGTCAGAGCAGAGATGAGGCAAACCAGGTCTGTGGTCGAGGGCCAAGTTGACAGAAAGAAATAAGGTTCCAAGATGGAGACACCATGGCTAAGTCTGCGGGCCTCCCCAGAGAGAAACAACAGCTCAGCGCTGCACTGTAACTAGCACTGTCCAGTCCAGTGAGACTCAGTAATGTAACAAACACCTGCACAGATGACCAGACACTCTCACTCACTCCTGCCCCTTCCAAAAATTCCTTGTCCTTCTCCCTACCATGCATCCTTGCTACACAGCTTGCTTCGATTAGGTCCACGCTAGTTAATCACTTGTAACCCTATAGGACGGTTGTAATTTGATGCAAAATGCCCTGTGATGAGATTTTACTAAAACTCCTAGATAAAGAGCTTTGGTGGCAGTGCACTTTGGAGACCCCTGCTGCTTCTCAGGAGCTTTCTCTTAATATGAATAATCAGTTGTTTGGGAGGTCTCAGGTTGACTGATTTCTGCTCTTCACCTACTTTGTCCTAGAGTCCATTCTTTAGTCATAAGACAGGAACTCAGCACATCTAACAGGCTGGGAGCTACTTCCTGAGATATAAACCTGATTCAGGGACTGTTTACATATGGAGGATGGGGAGAGATAAAAATTGGAGGTTTGCTCTCAGAGTTTAGTTTTGGATATGCTGCTTTTGTAGGACTTGCAAGACCATCATGTGGAAATGTTGAGCCAGCGATGGGCTGGCTCTCAGGAGCAGTATCTTGGGAGAATACAAGACTGTGACTCATTAATCTACCCAGCAGATTGATAGGCTGTGAGGCACAGCTGTTGGTGAAGGGGTGGCCCTAGACTTAGCAGAGAAAAACCAAGGTCATTAAACCAAGAGATAAGAGTGTTTCAAAAAACAGTAACCCCCAGTGTAAATCCTTGGATAGCAAGGAAGTAAGGTGGAGCCTGAAAGTGTGCAGGGAACCTGGCAGCTTGCATGTTAGTGGCCCCAGGAAGCTCAGCTTGGACAGGAACTTGACTTGGGTGGGCTAACGCGTTGCCAAGACTACATGAAATGGAATCCTTTTTCTAGAAGCTTAGGGTAAAGGAACTAGAAAGCTTACTGGTTTGAAAATCTTTGTAGCTCTTGCTAACAAGTACATTCTATCAAATTCTATGAGTGACATAGTTTTCTATCAAGAAAAGCAGGTAGGATTCCTTGGTTATCTATCTTAGTAGCGACATGGATGTTAAGACATTGAGAAAATGGAACTAAAGTAAGTTTAGAATGCGTTCATCTGTTTGTGTGCTTGGCTTAGGATGCTCAGGCAGGCACCACACTTGTTCCTATCCACACAACAGTGAAGTAGGTGAGGTGTGCAGGCTGCCCGTTCCCTCATCTCGTGGGTTAAGGTACCAACAGTGGTGAGAGTGTAGAGAGTATGAACTATGCATCTAGGTGCTGACATCCATCATTCTAAACAGTGCAAAGAGGGAAATGATCACTTCCAAGGGAGTAAAAGTACTTTTAGGTAGTACACAGAAATTAAAAGGCACTCTTTGAGAGGACAATTATTCGATTATTTACTCACGGGTGGTCCTGGGGGTCCTGGTTTTCCTGGGGGTCCTGGCTTTCCTCGTCTTCCCTTGAAACAACAACAAAAAAGCATAATAAATGCTATGATTTTATTTTGTTTTAATATAAGACAATATCATATGGTAATGCTGAAGACAGTAAAAATTAACAAAAGTTAAACAATGTCAAGTCTTCATGACTGTTACTATCAATCAATTCTAAAAGCAATGGACCAGTTCTTAATAACCGTGATAACAGACACAGTCCCTGGAATGAACAGATCTTAACTGTTACCAGCAGTCTTTCTATCCCGTATCCCTAAATATTTTGGTGAAGAATCATAAAGCATCTGACAGAAGGTCAAAGGCTAGCAATGCATCTGATGACCCTATGGTTTGATCTTGAAATAATAAATCTACCATCTTAATTTATTATTTCTCAAAAGAAAGATCTGAATTCCAATTCTACAGAAGTTACTTGAGTGTGAGATTGGGTGATACACATATGCCTGGCTTTTACCCTGGACCAGTCACGCTGAATTTGGTAGAGCTTTCAGTGGTACAAACAGCCAGTTAAGGCATGTGTGTCACTGGTTTGCCACCACCGTCCTAGACTTGTTAGTTAGAATTTCTGGTGATAGGTGCCATGAATCTGCATTTTAGAATTATTTCACGCTCACTGAAGGTGTGACGTCCTGTCTCAAGGCATCATTATATGTTCTGCCTAAAGCACATGAACTAGCTCTGCACTTTGGATGGGTAAGCTCATTTACAAGTGAACCAAAATGCATAGCTTTTGCATATTAATCTACATTATTGTAACTGCATGTTAACTTTTCCAAGTCCACAACCAGTCAAATTTAAACTAAAATCAGAACTATAAATCCATGCCAACATCTTTGTGTATCTAATACCATTTAGGAGTTTTCAGTTATAAAAATATTTTCTTAAATTTCTAAAAAAAGAAAGTGAGCTTAGGTTTTGAAAGTATACATTTTGAGCAAGAACTACTTCTGAGCATCTGTTTTCTAAATATTACCATTCAATGTCATTGTTACTAATTAACTTATTCAGTAGCTATATTGATAGGCTATACACAAATGAAGGTATATGATACTTTTAAAAAGTGTCTTTTTTAAAAACTGTAAGCATAAATACAAAAGGCTCATTCAATTCACTAATTTTCTTGTTCTGAAAGTATCAAGCAAAGTTGCCCCAATTCTTTGGTTTTCCTCTGAATTTGGAGTGGGGTAGGAAGTTAACCTATCAGTGGAGCCTGCAGAGGATGCTCTGGGAGATAAGCAAGAGGCTGTCCTCTGATTGGATGAAGAATGTGTCCATGGTTATTGAAGGTGAGTTAAAGGCACACCCCCAAACACTCCCTATCAAAAGTGTGTCATTTTTCATAAATAATTCTAATTGACATTTACAGAACAGCATTGAAAAATTTTTCTTACAAACATAAATATAATTGTCGTGCTTTCATGTACTTTCCATTAGAGTTCTTTGGGGGACTATAAGATTGAAATGAATATACAATTTAATATACTGTATATTTCAACCAGTTATACACATAGTCTTACAGTTCCTAATCTTTACAGTTCCTGGGTCTTTAGAACATGTAAATCAATTAACTAATGTTAAAAATTTTACTTAGAAAACGGAAGAGATGTAACTTACAAGCACACAAAGAAATCAGATCAATACTATCTAAGTAAGTGATTGGATCTTTCTTGAAGTCTACATTAGGTTGAAGTAAGTTAAAACCATAAGATCACATTTTGTTTACACTCCACTGTCTTCAAAGAAGATGTATATTGATTCAGGCAGGATGTGGGGAAAATGAGCATATCGATCAATTTTTACCATAATGTGTAAGACAAACCAAATGTCAGATATTGTAACACAACACTGGCATTTGTTAAGATGAGGAGCAAAAAGTATTCACAGTTCTGCATGGCTAGGGCAGGCATCCAAATTCCCATGTCTCCCTGCTGATCTCCAGGTTCATTAAGCCCAGCCCTGTCTCTGTTGGAGTGGACGTGTGCCGATCTGTATGCCCTGAGATGCACGGAGAGGATGATGGTGTGTGTGTGTGTGTGTGTGTGTGTGTGTGTGTGTGTGTGCATGCACACTTTCTAGAGTAGAAGAACAGGTGACACATGTGTGAGGTGTTAAAGAGCCACGTTTGTGCAGACAATTTTTGCCAGCCCCTATTTTCAGTCTAATCCTGGTTTCTAGGCTTGAGTTCCAGTAACACACTGAAGCGGATCTGAGCAAGTTTTAAAGATGTGCTGTACATAGCAACTCAGTTCCTCTCTTCTTAGCTCTGTCTCCAAATTGATCCCAGGAACAGTTGAGGCTGACCTTTGGGGTTTCTGCTCCAGTGCCCTGGAGAAGTATTCTGACAGCACATGGCAGAGGGTGGACGACTGAAAAATAATGGTAGCGATGCTGGAGAATGAATCAAAGTGCTCTTCGGGTCACACTTTCTATAGACACAGAAGCTCCATCCCACTCTTCTCTCCGAAACCCCTCAGGAGTTCATTCCCTAACCCACTGACCACCAAGCTTCCTCATTTCCCTGAGTAGAGCAGTATAATCTGCTTTTCCAGAAGATCTCTCATTTGCTTAAGTGTTTTAAGTAAAGGAAAAAGGCTACCTGGAAGACAAGAATAGCTTCTTGGTAGAGTGAATTTAGTACTGAAGCAGGACCACTGGAAAGATTTTTTATTACAAATAACTATATCACAACAAAAAGGCATAAGCCACGACCCTCCTCCTAGGGCTGAAACAAGACTCCTCCAGCTCTGAAGGAGAATGTGTTCTGTGGATCTCAGCTCTTCTCCTCAAAGGCTCTGGGGAGCTAGACAAAGACACCCAAAGCCAGGGGCTGGGGGCTGCGCTGACTGGGAAGGAGCTTGGCAATCCGAGGCAGGGACGGTCACTGCTTGTGAGTTTCCACTTCTGCCTCCTGCTACTTCTGTCCTTTCCTTACAAGGCTTGCTGTAGGCCACTCCAGAGACAGGCACCAAGTGGGACTTGGGGGTATACACACGAGAATCTGGGCAGGTAGCTTATACAACTGCTGAGCCAGGAGGGACTGTCCTGTGGGAATGTCCTCAAGGGGCTGTTTGTTCAAAAGCAACTCTGATACATTAGGGTCTGGGTAAATCTCTAAACACACTGAGATCTACTGTCCCAGCACTGTTATAATTGGGCAAACCCAACACTTGCCTGAAAACTGAGAAGTACATCACAAAACACAGATTGAGTCTAACTAGTTGCTTTGGAAACCACAAAGTGCTCAAAATGTCAGTTTTCTGCTTGGCAACAGTGAAAAATGATTTGACAACCATGTAGATACCTGCCTTATACTCAGAGGAGCCCAAACCTGAGCAGGCAGCAGTATCCCAGTTTGTGTATCTCTAACAAATTCACAGTAACACCAAGGCTAGGGCCAGTCTAGAATGGTAGTTGGAAACTACCGTTCTAAAAACTTAAAGTGCTCAGTCCACCTTAATGTCAGGAAATCCTATAAAGCCGCTTACATAAATGTAGCTCAGGACAAAAGAACTCCGTTAGTTTTGTGATTGTGTGAGGCTCACAATAAAATAGTCATTGTAAATTAAGCACAGAAGCATTGGACTGGAATCCCTGCTTTTTTACTCTTACAGAAACATTGTATGCCAAGAACTGTTGCCTCATGATACATATCCATTGCTACAGGTTTGTAGAGAGATTCAAAATGAGCTCATTTGTTAAATTCCTGCCACAAAGACATATTAGGATGGAGAAGACATGAACCATGAAGACAAACAAAAGCAAACACAGAAAATAACAGATGTTGATAAAAATATGGGGAAATCAGAACACTTGTACCATGTTGGTAGGACAGTAAAACGCTACAGCCAGTATAGAGAATACGGAGCTGCTCAGCACACTTTAAGTATAGTTACCACGTGACTTCCTGGGAATCTGAAGTATAACCAAAGAATGAAACTTGAATCAAGAAGAAATATGTGCATCCATGTTCACAGCACTGCTTCTGTGGGACAAGTTGCCCCAAATATCCATCAATGAATGAATGAATCAGCATAATGTGTACCAACACATGAGGGAGCATTATTCAGTATTAAAAAGGAAAGAAATCATATCTCAGCAACAATGTGGAGAACGGTGAGGATATTACATTGAGTGAAATCAACAGATCATAATATTGTATGGCTCTATTCATGTAATTTATCTAAAGTATTCCAATGTACAAACATTGGAATACCATTGGAGTACCGTTACCGGGAGCTCAGAGGAGGGAGAAAAGGAGTGTGTGTTTAAGACTTCCAGTTTTGCAGTGTGAAAAAGTTGTGAAGATCTGTTTCACAACAACATGGATATACTTTATTAAGCTGTACAGTTAAAAATGGAAAAGGTAGTACATTTTATGTTATGGCAAAATTAATGTATGCTATTAGAAGTCATGAAGGGCTACTCTTGTGGTCGGGCACAGCTACACAAAGTGCGAGAGGGGTTCCTTGATGTTGTTTCTTAGACTGTGTGCTCATTACAGAAGCATATTCTGTGAAAAAGAATCCAGCTGTATCCTTATAAAACATACATTGTTTTCCAGGATGTCTATTTCAGTCAAATCAAATCAAATCAAATCAAATCCAAGTGATCACCATAATGGAGCAATGCTATGTAAATAATCTAAGGACATTATCTATCTACATTTGCTGTGTCCAAGGCCACAGTGTCATTATTATCAGAAAGAAAGGAAAAGAAAAAAAAAAAACAAAGAAGGCTATTTAAATAAATGACATCTACATGCTTTCAATAGTAAAAATAACCTGATCCTTGCAGGATGACTTGCAGTAAGACAGCACGTGTATCTTAAATTAGATACTTGACTTATAAACACTTGGCCCTTTCGGAGTACTAAGAAGAGAAGAATGCAAATAATGGACTATTGGTACTTAACTGACAGATGGTTTTTGTTGTTAAGGGTTATGGGGATGAAGAAGAGGTTAGAGCAGTAATTAACCTTAAATAAAGGGTGCTATGCAGACCCCAT